CCCTCCACGCAGAGATTCTCTTATGTCACGGCGGGATGATGGTCCTCCACATCGAGATGACCACTATGGTAGTAAAGACAGGTGAGATGTTTAAAAGCCCAACCTTATTCGTTGCTAAAGACTGTGTAATGCCAGCGCCAGACATCATATCGCCTAATTCATATCCAAAAAATTTGAGTGTAGCAATTAATGATGGCCTTTTTGTGTTCCTCCTCGACTTGAATTGTTTACTTGCTACGTCACTTCATTTGACACTAGCACTCTTATTTATTGCTGAATAACCATTCGGAGCACTCTTCAGCCAGTGCTGAATCAGGTCAATGAGAGCTGATGTGTGGAACATGCCAAACCAACTAGTCTGACTAAAAAACCTAATAGTTGACCGTCTGCTTGTTGTGTCCTGGCATTAAGGTTGTCATTTGGATCCACAAAAATGACACTTCTGTATTATTCTGTCCAGTCTAGTAGTTGGCCATATCACTTGGTGTATTTCTTAATTTAAAACCGTAACCAATTGATTAAAGATGGTGAGCCATTCTGAAAGTAATATAAACTTGTTGCAGCCCAAGTGGACCCTGCTTTGAAATTTGTATTTGTAAGCTGTGATGAATTCTTGTGGTGGTGATCTACTTGAACTGATCTAGTCCACAATTGTCCTCTAAGAAGTTCTGAGCTTACGTTTTGAATGTTAATGCTTGTCCATCTTCTGACAACAATTTCAGACCCACCAAACTTATTAAAATCGCTATGTGCTCAACTTTAGCTTAAGCATTTTCTGGCCCGTAAATGTTGTGTAGTTGGTCTGAAAGGTTAACATTCCCGTTATTATATATCTGACACTCACTCACATGTTCGTGTTTTGCAGTTATTCCAGCCGTGACTACATGAGCTCACGGGACAGCAGAGACTATGGCCCACCTCCACGAGATTATCCATACCGGGAGTATTCAGGCCATTCCAGTTCCAGAGATGACTATGGGTCAGGATCAAGAGGCTATAGGTGTGTACAGGTCCTAACGCATTTCTTTTATTGGCACTTAGAGAATCCTATAGAAAACCTTTTTTTACTTTTTTTCCCTCTCAGTGATCGTGATGGCTATGGTGGAGGACGAGAGCCCCGGGGTTATATAGATCGACCCAGTGCAGGCTCCTATAGAGATCCTTATGATGGTTACGGTAAGATTAAACCTGTAATGTAGTGAAAATGGTTTGAAGGGCTTTATTCAAACTGCCTGATTTGCAAAAAGAGCAGCCTCGTGATTTTGCCAGAAAGTGGAAAACTCAAACTCTGCGTCTGTTCAACCTGAATGTTCCAACCAAAATCGCACCACCAAGGAATCTCTTGCAAGCCGTTTTTACCACCCAAAGAGTCTTTTCTGTAGCATCGTCCAAACAATCGAGAGATCCAGTACCCAAACTACAATCTGGAGTTCAATCCAAACCAAGGAAAGTGTGTTACACTCCAGTGAGGTGCTTAAAAAAAAAAAAAAAAAACTGTGCGCAAATGTCAACTCTGCAGTTGGGTATTTCAGTTATCTTAAAGTAGTTCCACCTAAAAATACAAACAAAAAACTAATTTATTGCTTTTTGCTTTTGGAAACATTTGATCTACAAATGATTAAAGAAATCTAGGGAAATGGGCAATTGACAACATAGTATCATGCAAAAAAATGTTTAAGTAAATTTTTGCCAATTACATGACCCATTGACCCTGCAGGTAACTCACGCAGCGCCCCACCCTCAAGGGGTCCCCCTCCGTCCTACAGTGGGAGTGGCGGAAGCAGTCGTTATGACGACTATGGCAGCAGTTCCCGGGATGGATATGGCAGTCGTGACAGTTATCCCAGCAGTCGGAGTGACCCGTACTCCACTAATCGTGGTGACCGACCGGGTAGGCAGGAGCGAGGGCCTCCCCCACTCGAAAGAGGCTATCCTCGTGAATACAGCAGCTCAAGCCGTGGGGCACCTCGTGGGGGTGGACGCGGTGGCCGCCGACCTGATAGAGGAATGGGCCGAAACCGATACTGAAATGGACTGTGGAGATGAAAAATGAGTCGGAGAAATGAAATGGTGGCTTCTCGTTCAAAAGACTTTGAGCTTCAAAAGCGTTCTTTTAAACACTGAACTTCAAGCTTCCGTTTCAAGCTGTACCCAAACTTGTGACGTTTTTTTTATTTTGTAATTTTTAAATGCAAAGTTCTTTTCTCTACCCAGCTCACATTTACTGGTACCGTTGCAAATCTTAAGTGTGTTCTTTGTTTTCTAGTGATTTGTAAAACCTGCAATGCCGTAACGTTGGCTTTCATTTACCAATAAAGTGTTTTTAATCAAAATTTAATCCGCACTATTCAAGAGAATGAGAAACTATGAAGCATAAATATCCATTCGCCTCTAAAGCTTTCCATGGTGAGCACCCCCAAATGCCTCGTAATATAGATTTAATGCAGAATATTTATGTAGGCATGATTGTTCACACATTGTTGGGGACTGGACAAATGTCAACTTTTTTGCAAACTCTCTATGGGTGTAGTTTTCCTCAGTGCAAATGGATCCTTCATCACAAAGCCTAAACATTGACGCCTTGCATCGACCAATCGAAAGACAACCAAAATGCAGGAAACAATTCAGCACCACAGATAAAACCTGTCAACAGCTGGTAAGCAAAGCAAACCCTTTTGTTCTGGTATAAGTCAAGTCTCGGTGGTGTTATTTTGCAACCTGAAGGTTAGTGTAATTTAGTCAAACACCGTCTTGTTTGGCCTGGCTTATTCAAATGCAGTCTGAAACTCAATGTTATTTTCTACATTTATTAGCAAAAGCCCCTGCCTTCAAAGGAGTCTAAGATCTCTTCCCAACTTCTGGATCACTGAGTTTAGGAGGCCTTTGTCTCTCAAAAATCAGCCGGTTCTACTGTTGCACTAAAGGAGAATGTCTGGATTTTTTTTCACCCCCTTTCAAATGAAAAAAAAATGTTTTTAAGTGATATTAAGATGAATCTCCTCAGTGGATCTATACCTACAACCAAATGTAAGCTGCAGAACCTCTTGAAACCTCTCAGTGGAAAAATATAGAAAATTCACTTAGTGTTAACAAAAATCCAAAACCACTCGCAAGCATGCTGAATCTAACAAAGGAGACCACCTGGAGAAAGACAACCCCATCAACAAACCTGGAAAAAAAACATTCAGATTGGGTCATTGAGTTCTTTTTTTGTCAAATTTAATTATAAATAATGTCCCTTATGATGAGCTACAACAGCTTTCTGATTGCAAGTCTCTTTTTCCAGGATAAATGGAGGAAAAACTGCTTTGACGGTAATACTTCATTGCTGAGCAGTACCAACTGTCAATTATGGATGAAGCAGGATGGTCCATGGTGTCATGCAGGTATGGGTAATCTTCAACCTTTTTGTTTCATTTGCTAGAAGCACTTTTTCTTCCTTCTTAAATTTTCAGAGTCAATTTATGCTAGTTAAAGTTTGACCTGCGTATTTGGTTTAAAGCAGGTGACTGGAACTCTTCATCCTCAGGCTTGTTTAAATGTTTTCATTATATCCGGGTGTCCGTGGGGTCCTAAAGTCTTACATTTCAAAAACAACTGTAGGCCTTATTCACTGAAATATTGTGTTGTAGGTTTTAAATCTGTTGTTATTTTTTTTTTTAAACTGGTCTTTTCCTCTGTCCAAGGAAAGCTACTTAATTAGTCCAACATCCATCCAATCACCAACAATCAATCTCTGTAAAACCTTTTTTTTGTACTGCAAAGACATACAATTTACAGTAGCTGTTTCTCCAAATTAAATTCCCAGGGAAAAAAACAAAAACAAGAACACTGTTCCTCATGATAATAAGTGTAATATCCTTTTGTTATCTTCCATTCATACAAAAACTCTTAACAGAAGGCCAAGTAGATGTAATATTTGTAAATGGGCATGAGACTTGAGGATTAAAACAAATGCATTGGGTTGAATAGAAGTTATTCTGTCATAAAGAAATTAAGTGTATACAAATAGTTTTCTTGTTTTGACAGTATGTAGCCAAGAAATTTGTGCAAGCATTTGAAATATTCATTGTTTAGTCCTGCAAGTCTAAAATTTCACTCAATGCTTCTAAAAGGGTTATAAAGTCTTAAATTTGACTTAAAGCCTGCAGAAACCCTGTTATTTATATATATATATATATATATATATATATATATATATATAAAATGCATTGCACAGATGCTTTTAATTTTTTTTTATTGTTTTGTCAGTCAGAATTTTATGCTGCTTTTTTTTTCTTATCAAAGTTAAAGGTTTAATCCAATTTAAACCAGTGTTTAATTTGACCTAAATCTTTTTTCCAAGTTGAGCATAATTTGTTTTAAACATTTATTTTCCATAATTCATTTTGTCTTTTCAATTCCATTTAGACCATCTTTCGGAGGCTGCTGTTCCTTGAGGCTGAAAGCATTTGGATGGAGTCACGCTATGCTACAATTTCTCTTCTTTTTCCCAATAAAATCATTTTAAGTAACTTTTTAGCTTTTGAGTAATTTCTGCTAAGACCTGGCAAGATGACAGTTTTCAAGGTATGCTGCGGTTTGAAAACGTCATGGTTTTAAAACTCTATTTTCTGCTATACCGTTCCTACGGTACATGTAAGATTTTTTTTAGGACTATAGTATCTCCAGCAGAAAAGATATCCAAAGATGTTGTTTTAAATGGTTAATCTGTGTTTTTGAAACGATTCAAGATGGCACAAGTCATTATTTCATTTGAAATATTTAGCCTGACATGTTTACTGCTCAAATGTTATGTTTCCCAACAAAACCCATTGTTCACAGAGAATTTTAACTTTTTTAAATAGTTTTTTTTTAATTTTTAATTAACCAGACATTTAAAAAAAAACATATTTAAAGCAGTAATAACAATAATGACCCTGTGATTATTTATTCATGGTTATCATGCCGTCAGAACTTTATACCGCCCCTTGCCTGCTGTAATGATGAATGATGCATTAGAAAATGCTTCAACTCTGTTAGTTTTTACAGCTGGTGTACTTCGTCTGGAAAAAAAAAAGTTGAACCATATGGAAAATTCTTGCGGCATTAGATCAATCACAGTTCCCTTTGTCGCTTAAATGTCAAAGAGCCTTTATGTTAGTTATATGGCAGGCGTCCACTGGAGAACTAAGTCGCTGGGCTGAATGGTCGTTGTAACATCAGTGAAAAAGCAGAAGCGCGACGGATGTGGGCAGCATCTCAACACAGATAGTCAGAGCTGGCGCACCGGGTGCAGCTCATCTGAAAGGCCCATTGAGCCCAAACTATGAACCCCGAGGAGCAGACTGTTACGTGGCTAATAACATTAGGCGTGCTTAATTCACCCAAAAAGAATATCGCTGACCCAGAGGAATTTCTGAAAACGTCCCTCAGAGATGGAGTCGTCCTGTGTAAGCTTATTGAGCGAGTGCTACCTGGAGCCATCACAAAGGTAATCGCTAATATGCGTATAATATACGTTATTAAACAGTCCGTTCTAGTGAATTGTTTTTAATTTGGTCCTCCTTTGTGCAAAAGCCTTTAATACAGCGACGCGGAATGTACTGTTAACGATGCGTGATAACGTTATACTGTCACAAGTAACATTGAAGTGCATGACATTTTGCGAAGATACGTTGACTTGTGAAAACAGCAGCGCGGTTAATGTATATTTAAAACTGATAATTAATTCAGGACGTACTATTAAAGCGCATCAGAATCTGACTTCCTGTTACATTGGGGGAAAATTGTTCCGCATTCTCAAAAAAAGCCCAAATCTTCACCATTCTTCATTTGAGTGTAAACACTGTTTTTTTTTTACTTCTGTCGTTTGTAAAAGTTGTTTAGCTGGTGTCGATCTAGTAATGGATTATTGCTGATACGCATGCATGTGTGTATCTGATACTAACTAGTGTTGTCCAAATTAGAGCACTAAGGTCCGCAAGCCAGCTGCTTTTCCTGCTGACGAATGAATCTGCCTTAATGTATTAACTTGAACTCTTTAAACTCGTGCTTTAATTCACAGTGGATTCAAAAGTACACACACCTTTAGACTTGTAACGAATGTGCTAACTTGACATAGGAAAGTTTGTGGGTTTTTTTAAATCTTACTTGCTAATGTTTTCTTGCTGCTTGTCTTCATTCGTTTATTTGTTTTTGGACAAAATCATGTGCTTATAGCGATTTGTTGATTTTAATGGCGCTTACAGTACATTTTTTTTTGGGTTGAATGCATGCGTGCATCGTTAACGAATCGTTCATTTGAGCCGAATCTTTTTAATGTATTTGGCCGGCTCGTCACACAGGACTCGTTTTAGTGTTTTTATTTCTGTCCAAATGATATTGAATTTTTCTGTATTTTTTTAAGCTGAAACATGATACATCCCAAATGTTTTTTTTTTTTTTTTAAAGTAGGGTATCCATGATAAATGAAAAAAATATTTTCAAATATCGCGAATGTGATAATGAAGTTTGCATTCATATTAAAAACTTATTACTGATTTTTTAAAAATAAAATTATTTTAAAAAAATAAATTATTTATTTTCAGTGTATTAGAGGGAAGTAGGAAACTTTTAACCTACCAAAAGTCTTGTTATCTAGTCAGACGCTCCTTCATTATCCTAAAAAATTATACATTTTATTAATATTTGTTCATTATCACAATTTTATTGTATTTTTGAAATAAATATAGCATGGTAAACAAACGATAGTTTTTAAATAAACACTCTTTATTCATGTGGACAATTTCTACCTCAGTTCACAAGATGTATTTAGAATCGATTCTTTAAAATTAACTCTTCAAAAGAACCGATTCTCTGATACGAGTCGCACTAGCTAGTAAAGCGGTCCAAGTAGAGTCTTGCTGAGCAAACATCGTCACTTCCTCCAAAATATCTTTTCCTGGTGCGACAGGGCCCGATGAGATCTAGCATAGATACTGGCTGTATGTGTGTGTAATAGGGCGAAGAGTACGTGAAGAAATAGTTCGGCTACTTCGCAAAGTAAACGCCAGAAGAATTAGCATGCGCTACTGGACAGCAGTGTCCGGGTACAATGTGGCTCATAGGCTAGGCTGACATTCACTTGCAAAAAGAAGATCTTGTGGATCTCAAGTGTCTCTTTGCGTTGCAGTGTGTCTGAAGCAAAGTTGATATTATTTACATCCTCATCCTTTCATTGGTTACAGTATTCAGCTGAACCCAAATGCGAAGCGGACTGCATTGCAAACATTCGGGAGTTTCTGAAAGGATGCCAGTCTTTAAAGGTTGAGGTAAGATCTTTATTTCTCTCAAATTGCAGTGCTTGGGTCCTGTTCACTGAAAGGCAACGTTTTTGCTAATAGAGGGTCATGCCATTTTGAGAAACACACTGTCTATTAATATATTGTCCGCAGACTGAAGGCACACTTAGGCAAAAGTAGATGATAACTAATTATGCATAAATAAATCACATTGTTAGATATATAAAGTGTGTATTTCTATTCAATACTGTGCCAATAAGCATTGATTTTATGGAGGAGTAACGTACTTGTGAGAGACTAAATAATTAATATTAAATATTATATTGAATTATTTATATTGGGTTCTATAAAAGAGTACTTCTCTCTTTTGCCCGGTTTATTTGAGTTTAGCTCTCCCTGAGGACAGGCAAATAAATAGCAGGTTTTGTTTTGGGTTTGTACATGTGATCTCAAAATATGCAAGTAAACAAGATTGTGCGTAATACTAGCTCTTTCACATGTGCATTTCATTTATTATGGTTATTATGGTGTTGACCTGCAGGAGCATTACAGGCCTCTCAGGAAGATGGTGAAGAATTATAACTATCACTGTAAACATTGTCAATCTGAAAGGTTTAATGCGGACACAAACACATGGTTATGATGCCACACCCTCTGCAAAAGACTAGCACTGTCTGAAACTATTATCAAAATGTGATTATGGACTGATAAACTATACACATGTGGTGGATGTGGCTCATGTTGCTGGTTTAAATTGAAAGGTTTGACTTTGTTTGGAGTTAAAGTGATAGTTCAACCAAAAATGAGAATTTTCTGTTAGTTTACTGACTCGAAGTCTGTTATGTAAAATGCAAGACAGCAAAAAACAGTACTTTTATGATTAAAATAAACATAATGGCACAACATAATTAATACACTTACCTGTGTCTTGTGTCAGTAAAAGTGAAATGGTTGGTCCAGAAACTGAACATTATTCAATCACAACATTATTACCATAAATTCACAGCCTCAGCAAACAGTCAATTGGCTCATTCAGAAGAGCGTTTCTTCTCTATTGTTAACAGACAGCATCAGTTTCATGTCAGTTTGTTTTCTTGTTTATGTTATTCGACACTTATGTTTTATGAATCATCAAGGATCACAGTTTCAGCTAAAAATATTCTTAATGTCCTGCTGATCAAAATAAGTTTTCTACATCTTGAATTCATGAATCAGTTTAAGGGAAGCAAGAAAGAGATGCTAATTTACATTTAAACAAACACATTTTTGAACAATATTTACTAATCTGCTAATTTTCTGACTAACAGAATAGACATGTTGCACAAAGCCAGATTTGATTTTTAAGTTTAGATTGAGCTAACAATGATTTTTCGGGCTCAAGAATGCTTGGTGGTTTTGATTAGGTAACCTATGTTACATGGCTAACGTGCTCTGAAGCAGGTTTTATTCTGGTTTAAAAGTCGCAGACCCAAACTGGACCAATCAGCCATGAGTAAAGTGGCAAATCTGATGTAATAAAGCCGCTCCCACTCTCTGTGCGTCTTTTTTGCTCCAAATTAGGCATGGCCCGATAACTGTGTTCAATGTATACCGCAGTTTGGAAAAGTAAAGGTTTTTAACCGGCAACATTTTCTGTTATATCGTTCTTTTGGTATTGGTGAGATTTTTTTATTTGCATGTTCTTTAAGACAACAGTATCTCCAGCAGAAAAGATAATCAAAGATTCAATTTTAAAATGTAAAAGAAATCTGTGCTTCTAAAACCAATGAAGACAGCAGAAGTCAATGATTCATTTGAATTATTTCGCCTGACATGTTTACTGCTTCAAAATATTATAAGTGTTTCTCAAAATAAAGAATATTTTGTTCAGAGGGGAAAAAGTTTTAGTTTTTTTTAACCCACACATTTGAAAAGAATACATTTTAGAGCAGTAACCACTATACAGTGATACCGTTATCATACCATCAGAATCTTGTACCATGCCTACTCCAAATTAAAGTCTTTTAAACTAACTAACTGAGTCACAATATTTTTTTTTCGCTAATAATTTGTTTTATATTAAGTAAATTATATTTATTTATATATATTCAAATACTTTGAATCATCACTTAATATTACCAATGCCTTTAAATAGCATTTACATTTAAATATTATTTTATAAATTAGCTGCAATATATGTGACTGTCTTTTGAGTTTGTGAACTTACCTATATTATTAAAATAAATTATTTATTGGCCTTGATATAATAATGTTTTCTTTAACTTACTTTTACTAAATAAACAGTGTTTGTTCCAGCCTTGTGTTTAAATTCATTATAAAATCTGATAATGATATCTCGTAATCTTCAACAGAGATGTGAATTGACCCTCTCATGTGCTGTGTGATTGCCTGTTTGCTGCGCATGTCACATTTTCATCTGCATCCACTCCAGGTTTAATCTGTAAATCTGAGTTAACAGAGGGTGATTAAATCAAGCATTGAGATACAACTTAACCTGATCTTAACCAGTTTGCATTTGTTTAGATTTGTCAACCCGAAACTTACTCTGCAACCCAGAGTTTGTTCAACTCGTTTTGTGTAACAGGCCTTAATATTTACAGTCATTAACAATTAGCTGAAGCTATAATTGAGGATCTCAAAATGACTAAATATTAGCTGGGGAGTTAATATATGTCAGAATCTGATTAAATTATTACAGTAGACTCAATGTGCAACTTTAAAAGTGTAATGCTGTGATCTTTGGCTTGGCTTGGTTTCACTGAGCAGCTCAAATGCTGAATTCTGCTCTGTTATTTGTGGTTTGTTGTTGTAAAGCAGCAGTATGTAGCTGGACAAGGAGGACTGAGGGAGTAGCTGGGAACAGAAACTCGGTGTAGTACAGTTAATGACTCATTTGAACAACTTTAAATGATTCTCTCTCATGTCACTGTCTTAAAATTTGTCAGAATAGTTAGTGAATCAACATATGTCTTGTGGATTAAACTCTGGCTTAATATTCCTTTCAGCGAAGTCTATTTCAGAATAAAACATTTCTCGTCTGTTTGAGGTGTTGCTTAAAGCTATCATACACCCAGAAAATAAGATTTGCTGTTAATTTACTCGCCCTCAAGCTATCCTAGACATATTTTTTTTATGATTTCTAGCTTAAAACATGGTCCTTTGGGATTAATAAAAAGCAAGTTGTAAGCCTTCCACATTTTCAGATTCAAAAACTTTTTATTAAAAAAAAAAAAATTACACTTGCGGCTTAAGTAGATACATTTAGGTCCTATGAAGCAATATAATTGGTTTGTGCATGAAACAAATCTAAATTCCTGAGCATGTTCGCAAAAGTTTGAAGAATATTGCAGAAAGTCTAAACTTACACAAGCTGACATTGTTTATAACAGAGAGGGCTATAATGTGCGTGTTATATTGTATGTCAACAATATACTCATGCTTATACTGGATACTGCAACCTAGGGATGTCCAGATCCGATCACGTGATCAGAAATCAGGCCTGATTATGTGTTTTCAGACTGGATTGTAATCGGGCGTTACCTCCCAATTATACACACACACACACACACACACACACACACACACACACACACACACACACACATATTAATCTATATATATATATATATATATATATATATATATATTCTCAATATTTTTCAACACATCTATAGTTATGCGGTGACACAGTTAGACCTTTTTCTTAACATCACTCAGGATCAGCAACGTGTGCGGCATAATATCACTTTGTTGCAGAGATGCTATTGGTCAAATGCAGGCAAAGTAGAACACGGAAGTAGCTTAAAGCAGAAAGCACGATTGTCTGCTATCTGGAGGTATTATAATATTGATGACGACAACATTGCCATAGCAAACTGTGAAATATGTAAACTCGGGATTGCAAGAGGTGGAAAGGAAAAGGCTACATTTAACACAACAAACCTGCTAAGCCACTTTAAAAACAAATACCCGGCACAATACATTGAGTTTACCCAGTCAACCCAACCGAAGACCAGTCAGCTCACGCTGGAGGAGAGTTTGAAGAGGAGGGAGAAAATGCCCCATGACAACGCGAAGACACAAGACATCACAGCCAAGATTGCACAAATGATCACAATGAGTGACCTGCCATTCACCTTTGTAGAGAACCCTGGATTTCTTATCCCAATGGAGCATGTAGAACCATGATTTAATTTTTTTAATGTATTATAGAAGTAATGGATTGGGTTTCTGGATCAGTAGATACTCAAAATCAAATGATTCTGACTCTGTGGCAAAAAAAAACCTTATCGGGACATCCCTACTGTGTTGTTGTGAAAGATGCGCACAACATCATCGATTTATATCACTGTGTCAGTAAGCTCATGCTCCAGAGTGTATTCCTAGACTGTGCCAAAGATAATAATGTTACTTAGTTACTTTAATTATTAATTAAAGAAAAAGTCACTTTTACACCTAGCTTTTATATGTGGCCAAATTGACCTTTCATTACTTTGGAAAACATTTAAAGCACAATTTGTTTATTTATTGTTTTAACCTTTGTGCACTTTTGAAATTGACTACCTTTTCATCATGTTTGTGGCTGTTTTTGCCCGTTTGACTTGTATAAGAATGACATTTTTTGATTGTAAAGCAAAAAAAAATGCATTCTTGATTTTTGGGTTTTTTCACTATTGGGAAAAGGCAAAACTTTAAATCTTTACCGTTGATCATCAGCTGTCACCATTAATTCTTTAAATAAGCCTGTGCAAAAAAAGTTTCTCACTTTAACATGTTCTATGGAGTAAAACAACTAATGATACTTTGCGTTTAATACACTTATACATTTAAACCAGAAACTTTTTTTTTTGCTGCAACTGATGATTAATAGTAAAAATGACAAATCTTACCTCTTCCCAACAGAGAAAACCAGCAACAATCAAGACTGCATGACTATATGATGTCATGGCTTTGCAATCAAAAATGTCATTAGAATGGAAGTCGATGGGGCAAAAACAACCACCAACACAAAGGAAGTGTAGTAAATTTTCCCACAGTATATTGTTGATCATAGCATGTTCCCAAAGTATGTTTTAAAATAAGATCTGTCACCCAAAATCGTTCAATTTAATGAGAAACAGGGAAAGTTGTGGCCAAATTAAGTCTCAAAATCTCCCCAGTTTGGATGAAAACATCCCCAAAAGTGCATAAGGGGTTATCACATTTCCTGAAGTATGCAAATTGTCATCATGTGATAAAATGTTATTTAGGAGAGAGTCCCCCCGACCCCAAAATAAAAATTCTTTCATCAGGTACTAGTCCTCCACTGTTTTGATGAGCTCAAAGAAAGATATACCTAAGACTGTATGAAAGAAAAACAGCCGTTGACTTCAATAATATTTTTTGTTCCTACTACTGATGTCAATGACTGTTTTTTCACTCAACAATCTTAAGAATTTCTTGTTTTGTGTTCAACTGAAAAAGACATTCATAAAGCTTAGAACCCCTTAAATGTGAATAAATTGTAAAGAAACTTAAATTTTTGTGTGAACTACCCCTTTAACTAAAATGTACGGCATAGACTATTTAAACCAGAACTTTTCAAATGAATCCCCAAGTCACATTTGTTTGGAAGCAAACCCCGGTCTCATGCTCTGAAAAACCCAATGGGTATATGGTTGATGGAAGTCATGTGACTAGACAAACGAACCAGGCGCATAACTTTCACTTCTGCTTTTAAAGAAGCTGAAAACGAGAAGTATCTTAACACAAGCCCGAAGCTTATTATGAACCACATTTAATTATTGACGAGTAAGAGCAACGGTTCGCAAAACAAATGGTAAATTGTAAGTGGTCTCGAACAGCACTAACTGCTGATATACCTAAACAGTGCTCTGCAAACACAAGCACAGATGCTGTGTAAATGCTATTATGTTTTATTTAAATGTGAAACTGTACCCTTCGCAAGAAATAGGATAGCTGTCGGTACTCAGCCACTGACAGGGCCTGCAGACCAAACACAAAAGCAACATCTCAAATCTCAAAATGTGGGTCACACTGACTGAAGTTGTTTTCCCTACCATCTGGATTTTTTATTTTAAAAAAGGGTTGCTTTTAAAGGATGTAAACATCAGAGTTCAGTTAAATAGTAAATTAGTCATATTTTGATTACATTTGCGAGTTTGCAAAATGGTCATGTATCAATGTTATCACATTGTTAAGCAGATAATGTTTAAATATGGAGTCACTGGGTAAGAGAATCAATGTTTGATCTGGATCTTGAATCGCCCCTAGTTGTGTTTATAAAACCAGACTCTTGTCTGATTTTTGACCTACTTGTGTTGCTTCTACTTTTGGAACTGACTTTTTTCTTGTTTGGCTTGTGTCTTTCTTTTAGGGCTTTGATGCAGAAAGTTTATATAGTGGGGAGAACTTCAACAGAGTTCTGTCGACACTCTCAGCAATAAACATCGCCACTCAAGGTAACTCGGCGCAGTGGACATGGTCTTATTTTTGTTCTGTAACTTTTTCATTTTTGAATACACTGCCTGTCTAAGAAACTATTATCTTACTTAGAGTTTTTCCTCTGGATTCCGGTCCAAATATCAAATAATAAAATAAAATAAATTGTTTTATTTTATATATTTTTATTAATTGGCGGTTATTTTAATGCATCAGCACATACAAAAACAGTCTCAGGTTTACAGTAGGAAGAAAATAATAAATATACAAAAAAGTAATTGGGATGATACAGTCAGGTAAATATACACCATAGAATAGAAAATCCGGAGAAATTATTAATGTAGTGCCAAAAAGGTGTCCATAGCTGCCAAAAGTCATCTGACTTTTGATGTATGTCATAGGTGAGTTTCTCGAGTGGAAAAAAACGTACATACTTGACACAACCACATTTTAAAGTAGGTTACCTGAGAAGATTTGTCCACAATAAAATTACACATTTCTTTGCCAGATAGACCAAGATTAAAAACAAATGTTTGGTGTGGGAGTCAAACACATTCTCTACTCCATCATATAACAAATACAATTCCAGAGAAAAAGTAAATTTTGTCTTAAAGTCCTTGTAGAAAATGATATATTTTTCTCCAAAAAGAGATAATTTTGTCACAATACCAGAAACAGTGAAGGAATATTCCTTTGCATTTTTTACAGTTCAAACAATTATCAGAGGAGTTTCTGTAAATCTTTTTCAGATGTAAAGGTGTAAGATAAACTCTGTTAATGAATTTATAATTGACTTCATGAACTCTTATTGATGTACATTAAGAAAACAAATTGTTACATATTTGCTTGTTTTTAGATAATACTTGGTTACATACTTTAAAATGTTTAACTTGTCTAGAAAATACTTTGTGATTTAAGAATTTTTAGATATTTGGTCTTGGAAACAAGATGAATAGTAAGAATATCATTTTTTTTACAGTGTAGAGATGGGCAACATGAACACAACATGATGATACTTCTGTTAATAATTAAGATGATAAATGTCAAATCTATATTACTTTTTGAGTTTATAAGCATATTTTTGCTTTCTGGGCGAAAGTTTAATTAACTTTTTTATTGTCAAAAAACTATGTATGCATGTCAATCAGATGAATATTTTACAGATTAGATGTATAGATTTATAGTACCTTGTATTAAAAGTTTTTTTCCCCTGTTTTAGCAGACATGAAATAGAAATTAATTTGTGTTCAGTAAAAAAATAAAATGAGCTAAAATTGTATTTAAACATTCTGACTTGTTAAAATTAGACATGATCAGTATCATTCATAATATAGTTTACATTAGGGGTGCCCAAATTTGATCCTGGAGGGCTGGTGTCCTGTGTAGTTTAGCTACAACTTATTTCAACAGACCTGCCTGGAAGTTTGTAGTATACCTAGGCTGTTTCTCAATTGCAGAACGCAGAGAGCGGATTTGCGTTCTTGTGGAGACTGTTCTTGCCAAGGTACCTTGGAAGAACGAACTCTAGAGACCGTGAGAAATGAGTCCTCATGTGAGAAATGGGATGCTGCATTCTGGTCACATGACATTCAAGTGTTTTTAACGAAAATTTAAACATTACAGCATTCATACAACAATTTACTGTTTTTCCCCTTTTAATTATATAACACAACAAAACCTTACAAATATACTTTGCACAATATAAGTAACAGATTTGAATGTGAATTTTAGCAAATAAACTCCTTTAATGTGTTTACGCCTTTATTAGGATTTTCATGTTTATGTTTGCTTACACCATCTCATTTACAGAAACTCCAAATAGATAATGAAGTTATTTCTCTGAACTTCAATAATAAACTGAATGCTGCGCTTCCCTCCTCCTTTATTTAGCTTCAATGATTTTTGGGACTTCTCAAGCGAGTTTTGCACTCAAGTCTGTATCCACACATCCTCAATATCAAGAACACATCCAGAAACTTTCACATGTCCTCTGTTCTTGCGGTCTTGAGTTTTGAAACCGAACTTTGGCAGCTGATGATGACGTTAAACGAGAACATGAGGACACAAGATCGATGAAGAACGTATATTGAGAAACAGACCTGGAAAGAGCTTGATTAGCTTGTTCCGGTGTCGTATTGGGGTTGGATTGAGTTTGGGCACCCCTGGTTTATATCATCATAGTCATGACATGTACCACTTTATTACTGTAGTGTATTTTTTTTCCTTCTGCCCCAAATGATAGTCGTATTACAAGAATTTTACTAGGCAGAGCAGACAGTCTAACATGTACTGCTACACTGTAAAACCCAAAAAGTTAAGATAACTCAAACCATTTGAGGAAATCGATTGCAACAAACTATTTAAATTCAAAAACTAATCCTAATGAGTACTGTGAACTTAATCCATTTGGGAAAACAAAGCAATTTGAGCACTGTAAAACCCAAGAAATGAAGAGAACTCAAACCAACTAAGTATTTTAAAACCCAGTAAGTTAAGGCAACTCAAACCATTTGAGGAAACAATTTGAGTTAAAAAAAAACTAATTTATATGATTACTGTGATTTTACTCTATTTAGGTTGAAGTAATGTGGTATTTAGTTAATGTACTGCCTTCAACACTAAGTTCAAAACTCTTTTCAAATGAGAAGAATTAACTTTTAGTAAAAATTGAGTTAACAACACTCATTTAATTTAATGAAGTTGACTGTTGGGTTTTACAGTGTATGTGCAAGCCTCATATCAAAGACATTTTAGAAAATGAGCTGCTGCTGGTCACTTATAATCTACAAAAATCGTCTCTGTTTACAAGCAGGATCTTCATAATCACTCAGTGTTATGCTGCTGATGGAAATGAGCCATGTCTTTCCTGTTGCGCGTTCCCTCAGGAGATGTGGCAACAACTGTCCTCCTCCATCCCACTAGACTGGGTTTTATAACCATTGATTCAAAAGTGGTTCAGTAATCATATATTTTTAAAAGGATTATATTACTTGCTGAATAAAAATGTCCTTATAATTTACTTATCCAATAGTCATTCAAGATGTTAGATTTAAAATGTAATTAATTCATCTTTTTAACCAAAATAGCTTGGATCTCAGAACTAGTGCCAGATAAGCTTTTGTGGTTAAAGTGCATACTTGTACTCCTCGGGTTGGATTGTTTTGAATCCTTTGAAGCTCCATTTGGATGTTCAATCCACTGAGCACTATAGACATCCACTATATCGTGATGAATCTTGAAATGTTTTTGACTAAAGAAAGAACGTAATGAACATTTTTAGATCACAGGGGGTGACTAAATTATCAGGAAGTTTTTATTCTGGAAGTGAACTAATCCTTTAATTCCTTTATCAGTTCAAGATGATCTTTCAAAGAATACTGGAGTAGATGTCACATGCCTGTGCAAGTTTATCCCAGTGAAATGCACAATAGGCTATTTAATTTAGTTGCAGAGCGCAGTAAACATGAGATACAAATCGCATTTCTTTCTCAGGATGAGCATGACTGACCTCTTGTATTTGCTCTGTGATCGTCAAGAGGTGATTTGTCTGGGGTCGTGGCCGCATCTGTGTCTTTCTGCCGCAGCTGCTCTCGACTACTGGAGGCAGCAGACAGTTGCTTTTTGTAGGGCCTGTCTGAACGGCTGACTGCATCTGCATAAGCATGCGGAATTCATCAGGCATGTTGTTATTCTTCATTTTTCTTTCTTATCATATGTTTCCCAGCATTCCCTGTGGTTGTTGCTTTTAGAGGACTGAGAGTCTGGCTTGTAACAGTTTGTTTTACACTTTGGCTGTATGTACATGCAAAACTTTTTTAGACAGAAACAGACCGAATTAAAAAATTCAGTCTTAAAAACAGAAATGGCTGTATAACATGGGATGTGATGGAATTTTGGTGGATTTTGCATTAGTTAATAATTTGTTATTGCATTTATTTAAAAAAAAAATCATTTGTGACAAAAGCATATGGAATTTTTAGTGACAATAATAATATGAGTGTTGTTTTATTTAAGAAACACACTATTGTAATATGTACACAAACACTCAAAAAAGCTTTACAACACTAGGACTGTGCATTTTTGGGGAAAATATCTACATTCGTTTTTTTTGACATTGCGATTTCGTTTTGATTTGTGATTTATTTTTGTAGTCAAGCTTCAGCTCGATATTCTGCATCATAGCTTCTTACTGCTAAAATGCAGTTAGCGTTAGTTAAAAAAGGAACTGAAAAGTTATTAACTTCAACTTTTTTTAAAAATAGTTTTTAAATATTCAGAAATGAAACACTAATTCTTATAGTGTTATGGCATTAGTTCTGGTGCCTTTGTGATGTTTTTTCATATGGTGTAACAGCTGCAAACAACTCTGAAATTGTACTTTGCTGTTGCTCGCTACTAGATTGTGTGTCAGTGAAAATACTTTTTGTTGACTTTTTAGCAGGTCACTCCTTATTTAGCTGTCTGTGGTACTTTTTTAGATGCTGGTTGTTGTATTTCCTTGTGCTGTGGCAACAATTCTGCGACAGCTCTTACTTATGACTTGTTCCTGCTTTGTTTCTGTGACTTTGAAACCAAAACATTATAATATTACCATTATGCTGTTTTTCTTTGATATAACTTCATCTATTTAATGCTTCTGAAGCAGTCATCAAACTTGTTTGCACTCTCCTGTTTGTTTGTTTTATTGTGGGCATTCAACATAGATCGGCAGCACAATTCTGATTAGGCAGAGCGAAAGTATGCTCACTCAATTGGCTAGTAAGACACAGACGGCAGTCACACATTTGCTCTGGCTGGGGGACATGATATAATACATATATATTTCATATCACAGCCTTTCATGATTAGCTCGATTAAATTCGATTCAATTTTGATTATTCACACAGCCCTACAGTTTGGTTTTGGTTTAATTTGAAAAAAAAAAACTGTAAGGTATACTACTTTTGTCCAGTAAAAGGATAATAATAATAATAATAATAATAATAAAGTATAATGTGTACCAAATTAAAATGTAATACAT